AAATCAAAACCCTATCCACTTCCAGCAACCACCCTAACTTTCCCTTTCTGGCCAAACATCTCACACTTGGGTGTACATGTATGTCTACACTTACCTCCCACTCACTCCTCAACTCAAAACAACCTGGTTCCCGGTCCCCCGGTACTCTAGTTAAATCACCACGTTCTCCAAGGTTACTTCCCTCAGTTACCGGCTCCCACAGGCCCCTCTCCTTGCCCTTTGGCACTTTCCCCATCAGTAACTGCTTCATCTCAGGGTGTTAGTCCCACTGGCCTGTGAGCTCTGTGAGAACAGGGCCCGGGGCTAGACCCACCATGTGGCTCACAGGTACTCGCAGAGCAAGTCTGGATGACATCAATATGACCTTCTTGCCACTAAATCCAGCGACTCTTAATCCTAACTTAAAAATCCTCTTATTAACTATTCATCCGTTTTCAAACATTCTACTCGCCATTCTTCTCTTCATTCCTTCAAAAAAATATTTGTGATTACGAAATACATGCTAGGCATTCTTCCAGAAACCAGGGATGTGACCAGCAAATAGGACAGTGTTCTTAAGGAGAGAGTAAGACATGAATTCTTAAAGAAAGTACATTTTAGTGGGGAAGACAGATGTAAACAAAGAAGATAACTTGGGATGATGGTATTAAATGTTAGAACAAAGTTGTATGATGGAAGTGTGATGACTCAGTTAAGCTGGTTAGGGGTGCCTCTCTGAGAGGGGGACCTTCAGGCTGATTCCTGAATGATGGCAAACAGCCAATCAAGTGAAATCCTGGGAAAGAGGATTCCCAGCGGAAACAGCAATAAAAGCTTGCCCCCAGGACCCCCACTCACTCCACACCCTTCCCTTGAGCATCCACCCCGCACCACATGTCAGCTGACGGCTTTTAAATCTAAATCTCCATTCCAGCTATCTCTCTGGGGAGCTGGCCACCCAAATTCCAAGACACCTATTCAGTATTTCCACTTAGAAATTGCACAGGTGCTAGAAATTCAGTGTAACCCAAAGTAGAAGTTTTTCTCACCTAAGTTATACCTGTCCTTCTATATTGTTCTAAGTAAACTATACTTATATTATAAACCACCCAGGTACTAGAGCCAGAAATGCAGTTATCATTGACTCCTTCTTTCCTCTTACTATACAATCTATCAGCAATCCTACAGATTTAATTTCCAGAAAGTCACTTCACATTTGTCTGCGTCTTCCATCCTCACAGCCACGGCTGGTCAGTCTAAGACATCATCACCTTCAGCAAGATTACTGAAACCTCAAAACCGTGTCTCTGTTTCAGTCTTGAGCCCCTGAACTCCATTTGCCATGCTGCAGGTTACGCCTACACTTCTTCAGTCACATGCCAGCACCCTTAGCACAGCTTACAACCTCCTTCACGGTGTGACCTTTGATCTTTGCCACGAACGGATGACCTCTGCCTCTGTGTGGCTGGCACATCACATGCAGTGAAATACCTTTGGCTGACTCAACATAGCTCTCTAGCCAACGTGTCTTGCTGAATCTTGCCTCCAGACTTTGCGCCACACCATTCCCTGAGCCCAGGATTTTATTCCACTAGCTGTTTCTCTCACCTGGCTGAGTCCTCACCATCTCTCAGTTCTCAGCTAGGATGGCGTTCTTTTTGGATACACATTTTTGTGACTCCTTTTTTATGGACTATTTTTTGGAGCAGTTTAAGATTCACAGCAAACTAAAGCAGAAGATATTTTCCAGATACTGACTCTGGCCACATGACCTCCCCTATTGTCACCATCCCCCACCAGAGTGGGACACTGCTGACAAATGGTGAATGTACATTAATACAGCGTTATCACCCGAAGTCTGCAGTTTACATTATGTCCACTCTTGGTGGTGCCTGTTCCGTGGGTTTGGACAAATGTATAATGACACGTATCCACTATTACAGTGTCACACAGACAAAGCAGAATCACTGCCCTAAAACTCCTCGGTCCTCCGCCTATTCCCTCCTGCCTCCCCACCAACCTCTGGAAAATGCTGATCTTTTTACTGTCTCCACAGTTTTGCCTTTTCCAAAATATCATATAGTTGGAATCCTACAGTATGCAGCCTTCTCGGATTGGCTTCTTTCACTTCATCATATGCCATTAATGTTCCTCCATGTCTTTTCAAGGTTCGACTGCTTGTTTCTTTTCAGAACTCGGTAATAAATATTCCATTGTCTAGATGTATCACAGAAAGGAATGGATGCTTATGTATTCGTTCACCTACTAAAGGACATCTTGGTTGCTTCCAAGTTTTGGCAGTTATGAATAAACTCAATATAAATATCCACGTAGAGGTTTTTATGTGAACTTATATTTTCTATTCCTAGAACGGGTAGATACTAAGGAGCAAGGCTGCTGGCATGTATGGTAAGAGCATGTTCAGTTTTGTAAGAAATGGCCAACCATGCCTTTCACCAGCAATGAAGAGCTCCTGCTGCCCCACATCCTTGTCAGCACTTGGTGGTGTCAGTGTCCCGGATTTTGGCCACTCTAATGGGTATGCAGTGGTACCTCACTGCTGTTTCAATTTCCATTTCCCTGATGACACAGGAAGTAGAGCTTCTTTTTCTTTGCTTATTTGCCATCTGTGTATCTTCTCTGCTGAGGTGTCTGTGAGGGTCTTTGATGCATTTTTTAACCAGGTTGTTTATTGTCTTATTGTTGAGTTGTAAGAATTCTTCTTATATTTCAGATAACATTTCTTCATCAGATGTGCCTTTTGCAAATATTTCTCCCAGCTGTGGCTTGTCTTTCATTCTCTCAACATTGTCTTTTGCAGAGCGCAAGTTTTCTTTTTCTTTTTCTTTTTTTTTAAAATAAAGTCCAGCTTATCAATTCTTTCTGTCATGGATTACACCTTCGGAATTATATCTAAAAAGTCATCATGAAAGCTTAGGTCATCTAGATTTTCTCCTGTGCCATTTTGTACAAGTTCTCTAGTTTGTTTTTTACTTTTAAGTCTGTGATCCATTTTTAGTTAATTTTTGTGAAAGATGTAACATCTAGATTTATTTTTTTGCATGTGGATGTCCAGTTGTTCCAGCACTTGTTGAAAAGAATGTCTTTGTTCTATCGTATTGGCTTCTCTCAAATGCAGTGTTTGAAAACTCTGATAACCCTACAACCTGGAGAATGTACCCCCCAGACTAAGTTAACTGTCTGCCCTATGCTTCCATTATTACCTATACCACCTCTATCACTGCACCCTTGTATTATCGTATATGTTAGTCTAATGTTTGTCTTTCCAAAAAAATTACAGAATCACATTTGCCTTACTCATCTTCCATGATAGTGTTAGGTATGTAGTGTGCACAGAACAGGCATTTGCTATGCTAACATATACATCATCTGTTTGTGTGTATTTACAGCTAGTCATGTTTCATTTTTTTTCGAGGAACAACTGGTATGTTGTTCTAGAATGGCATAAAGAACATTATGATAAGCAAATGTTGGAGGTTCTTATGGATTAAAATTTTATAAAAAATTATAACCATTTTCTATACTTTCAACTCTTTTTCTAAAACAAAACAAAGTAAACTCGAACTCTATCACTGAACAACAAACAATATCAAAAGGTAAAACCTGCTATTAGAATTTTTCACCCATCCCCTTTTCTAAGTCAATAACTATAATTTTAAGTACTGGAGGTTCAAATCTCTTAAATCCTCAGAGAGTCAAAGATGACAAGATAATTTTGCTTTTTTACTTCACAGTTGAAACCTATTAGCAAAATTAGCATGTATGAGAATTGGGAGATTTCTGTAACTGATATGATGGTAAGTAGCCTGGTTAAATTTTTTTCTATTTTTTCACAATTCTTAGCACAATAAAGTTTTATAAGAACTAGAGTGTGTTATTATGTAAAATTATTATTTATATTTTATAAGAAAACTGATACTTTCCTGCATCTTTTGCTTTGCAGTCAATATCAAATTTATTTTAATTTTTGGATTTGTATTATTATGACTTAAAAAAACAGTCATGGGATATCTAAATGAGAATTATACAGTAAGATGAAATATTAAAAACAGAGGTTATGTCTCATAACATGATTCATTGATAGAAAAAAGGTAATAATAGTAAATTGCATTTAAGTTAATTTTTAATGGCTTTTTGTACCATATATGAACTAATTTTCAAGGAAAATGTTGTAAAATATTTTTTTATGACACCGTCCTTCATAAATATGTTTAATGTACAATAAGCATTATTTCCTAATCAGTTTAACTATATCCAGTTTCAAAGAAGAAACAAATAGATTGTGCGTAATATTCAGTCACTATTTTCCAAGGAATACACTATACCACAGAAAAATTCAACTTGCAAAGGGAACAGACATTTGGGGGACAGAAGCTATACATGCCAAAATGGTAAAAGTTACATCTGTCTTAATGGAGTCTCTGCCAATAAAGTATTGGAAAAATCACAGTGAATAACGGTCATAAAGTGATACATACCATAGTGGGCTACAACGTAATTTTACCTCTAGCAATATTTTAACAATGGCATATGTAAATTCCTAGCCAGACTGTTAGACTTCCTCTTTTATACATCCTTCACATTTTCAGTTGGATATCAGAAAGCCTGACATCTGAGTTTAGGCAAAACTATTTCAGATGAGCTGAGCCAGGCTGAGGGAGTAAATGCAGCTCTGAAAACAGATGGACGGGCAGATGGCACTGCAGACGGGCTTCACCTGATCTGAGCAAAACAACTTGACGTCGCAGTAAGATGGGGCTCAAATCTCACAAAAACCTTATAAAGTTTGCTCCTTCATTTCATTATGTGCTCCTCCCCCACTCCAAATGAATATGTTTAATATTATAAATATTGTTCCTTTAAAGTTTAAGTGTCTGTGTGATAAATTATTTAACCACAATATATGTTCTTTTACGTTTTTGGAACAGATGGTAAGAAAGAGCAGTCGCCCAGTGGAATAACACGTACATCGACTGTCTAAAAGTTATAAAATTAATTACCTTCCTTCATTGATGAGTTCAATAAATGCAAGTCCTGCATTCTTCTGAATAGAATTTTGCCATTCCTAAAAGGGGAGAGCAAACCAGGTGTAAGAAAAATGAGCGTAAATGAAAGTAACACATGGCTTCAGGATCACATTGATGCTGTTAGTAAACTCCTTTGTGATATTATTTCTAAACTTTTAAACAAGATTTTTAACAAACATCACTTTGTAAGAAATCAAGTTTTAAAAGTAGCCCTCTGTTACTTAGTTTAGAAGGTGCTTGTGGATTCCCAGTAACCTTCTGGCTTGATGTGGACTGAGAGAGAAATGAGATCACAGGAACACGGGTTACAGGTCTCAGCACAAAGCTTCCCTCCGGAAGACACCGATTGACTGGTAACGAACCATACAAGGACTAGCCACCCTTGCAAGGAAAACTTCAGTCCCTAACAAAGAGATTTTTCTTGGCGATTATAAAATGGAAATTAGAAATATATTCCATGTATTTAGGTTGGTTGGGAGATGAAATGTTCTACTTACACATAGAGTCCAAAAGACTGAAAAGTACATGGAAAACAGGTCATGAAAAAATTCTTCCAGAATTTGTAAAACAAGAAAGAAAACAGTATTGAAACTATACCCAAAGTAATCTTCCTTTGCTGTTTTAGATGAGAATATAATTATGAATCTGGCAGTTCCAGTTTCATCATTAAGAATGTAAGAGATTCCTACACAGTGTTTCGAATTAGGAAAGTACATTGCTTATTTTATACTCTTCCTATGACATATTTAAAACATGTCTTAGACAATTTTTTTTGGTTGCTGGTTTATTCTAGCTAGTTCCATTTTTTGGTCCTTTTTTAAATAGCTGGGAAATAGCAACTTTTTAGATTAAAAATTATATCCCTTTCAACACACCTATAAATACATACTTCCCTAATACATTTTTATAAACATTCCTTACTGATCACTCACGTCACTCATCTATAGATTTTTTTTCCCCATGGTTTCCTTAATAAAATGCTGGCCACACAGAAGTGGTCAACTGTCTGCCCATGAATCCAACTTGACAAAAAACACAGTCTCCGTGGGGACCCTTCACTCTACTGTTGATCACATTCCCTTTTAAAGCTCTGCACACGTGCTTGGGGTAAATGTGGTTCCCCAAAGCATTGGGAGTGTAAATATTCTCTGCTTTACGTAAACTGTAAAGTAATTTGTAAGTGTAGGTACATTTTAGGTAAAAAGTGAAGAATTACGGAAGAACAAATCATGGATCTACATTTCCCTGAGAGAGAGAATCAACAACTTGGGAAAAGAGATGTGGTGGCCTGGGGACAGTCTTTTAGGGCCTAAATGACTCCACTTTCAGAAAAGCCATTGTGTTTTTGCTACCATAATCTTTTTTATTTATTTTTATTTTTTTATTTTGGTTTCATTAATCTACAATTACTTCAGAATCCTTATGTTTACTAGACTCCCCCCATCACCAAGTCCCCCCCAAAAACTCCATTACAGTCACTGTCCATCAGCATAGTAAGATGCTGTAGAATCACTACTTGTCTTCTCTGTGTTGCACAGCCCTCCCCGTGGCCCCCTCCCCCACATTATATATGCTAATCGTAAGGCCCTTTTTCCCCACCCTTATCCCTTCCTTTCTACCCATCCTCCCCAGTCCCTTTTCCTTTGGTAACTGTTAGTCCATTCTTGGGTTCTGTGAGTCTGCTGCTGTTCTGTACCTTCAGTTTTTCTTTGTTCTTATACTCCACATATCTATCTATCTATCTATCTATCTATCTATCTATCTATCTATCTATCTATCTATATCTGTCTATCATCTGTCTATCTATCTATCTATCTATCTATCTATCTATCTATCTATCTAATCTATCTATCTATCTATCTATCTATCTATCTATCTATCTATCTATCTAATCTATCTATCTATCTATCTATCTATCTATCTATCTATCTATCTATCTATCTATCTATCTATCGATCTATCTATCTAATCTATCTATCTATCTATAGGATTTTAAAACAACATAAGCTGAAGTACCACTGTTCCAATGTAAGACCTTCACACTAGCTAAATAGTATTTTCCATGTCTTAACCTCAGTTTACTCTTTGTATGTTTTACGTGTACGTTTTATGATTAGACCAGAGGTTGTGCCTCTTTGAAGTTAGACCCATATTTCATTCATGGGTAGTAACTGTAGGACAAGCAGAAATAGATGATACAATTTTCACAGTGACTGCGCTGCAGCACTAAGGCAACCAAAGAGTTTAATTTTAGGAGTTTACCGCCATTAGGTGAAAAACAAAAAAATTCTTATGTGTAAAATTTGAGAAATATTACATGCCCTGGTATCTTTTTTTTCCAGGTTCTATTTTCTTCTCTCCACAGAAGCCTACTGGGTTAGGCATGAGCATTACCTGGGTGGGGATAAAGAGTAGTTTTGCAGGCATTGACCTAAGTAAGTAAAGGCTAAAGTGGATCCCAACTAATGCTGAAAGAGTGTATAATTCAGCTTCTGAAGATTTTCAAAATTCCTTATTAACTAAAATAACCAATTTACATCATTTCAACGTATCAAGTCAGTCTCTGTTAACTGCATTAACTAATACTAACAACCTGCAGGGTCACAAAAGTGTTAACTGTCTTTCTTTAGGAAAGAGGGCTTAAAGTTTTCACTGTTAAAATTGTGATATGGGATATAACAGTCCCAGGCAGGAGATACGTTAAGTCTCAGGATATGTATTTATCTCCTTGGCATCTGAGAAAAAAGAAAAGTCAGGTAATTTAATTAATGTTTTTAGTTAACACAAGAATACTATAGTAAATTGTGAACTGAGAAACATGGTAACATAGAATGTTCATGTTGCTGGTGAGCGGCACCCCTTCAACTCCTCCCGATGTCCACAGCTTCCCAGGCAGCTGCTTCAGCCAGAGCTGGAGGGGTACCTACCCTCTTAAGCCATGCAAGTAACACTAAAACTAGAAATCTAAAACATAAGCTTCCATTAGCTGTTTTCTGGGATTTAACATGAGACTTACTTATTGTAGCTTCTCATTATTTTGGTGAATCTTAAACAAACAGAACTCATAAGCCAATGAGGAATACACAAGTTTCTTTCTTTCCACTATGTGAAAAAAATACTAAATGAGAGACAGAGAGAGAAAGGGACATCAAAATATTCTTCACATGATAAAGTTTATTTTCCCTCCCAGATAATGTCAGGATTGAATGCAGTTTTTACCTCTTGTTTACTGATTTCTGAGTGATAGTCGTAAAAGTAACACAAATAATCAATTTTAGAAAGGCATCTTTAGTTGAAAAGTCCAGTCTCTTTACATCCTTGCACACAGTATTTAAGCAGCAAACAAATATGGGTAAGTGTAAAGAAAATACGGAATGTGAATGAAAGGGTCCTATAGGAAAAGTATGACAAATGACATATTCTCCTCTACTTATGTCAAGCTGTGGATGAATTTTCAGCCCTAACTCCAATGAAAAGGGCGATATTATGACAAGGGTTTATGTTGGCAAAGTAATAAATCTTAAAACATAAAAGAAGTAGCAACTTAAAAACTTTGGAAATGGGATGGCGCCTAGATCATTATTTTCTCAACACTTAGTATTAGCTTATTAATCAGAGAGCATTTCCTCTGAGACGTAATTTATATTTTGTAGCGATCTACTTTCATATATGTCTTCCCATTAAACCATAAACTCGTTAATGAAAGGAAGGATCTTGCTTTTATTAACTATGAGTATATATTAAGTAGCAAGGTCTGGTATACTATACTGACTCTAAGTATTTTGGTTACTGAATTGAATTGAATCCTATGGTGTCATTTAAATCTGTGGTCCTCAATTCTGGCTGAACAAAAAAATCAATGAAACAGAAAGAACAAAATAGCACTAGACTCACAGACACTGAGAAGTGACTGGTGGTTACCACGAGGGAGGGCTTGTGATGGATGGGGAGGGAGGGGGAGGTGTATAAAAGGGCACAAAAATTCTCAATCACAATATAAGTTGCTCACAGGGATAGCAGCACAGCATGGAGAATACAGTCAGTGATTCTGTAACATCTTCCTATGTTGACACATAGTAACCGCACTAGAGGGGGTGAGGATTTAAGAACATGGGTAACTGTTGAACCGCTGTGTTGTATACTTGGAACCAATATAAGACTGAGTGCCAACTATGCTTATTAAAAAAATAGTCAACGGGAGTTGTTAAAAAGTAGCAATCATATCAGATTAATCTCTAAGGACAGGAATCAGGCATTGGTATTCTTCTAAAGCTTCCCAAATGATTTGGATGTAAAGTCAGTGTTCAGAACCACTGACTTAGGTCATTTCTTGCTTTAACAACATGGCACACACACAGACCTCCAGGTAACCTCACATGCCCTCCTAGAGTAATTTAGTTGTTATGAGTGATGTATATGTTTTCCTTCAAACTGTTCAATTATTTAAACCTTCTTCTCCTCATTGCATAATTACATCATAATTTACATCATAATTATTGAAGTATTCACTTCTCTAAAATAAGGCCATTACTGAAGTCCCTTTCAGCTCTGACATGGCATTTATTCCCATCAATGGTATTTTTGTAAGATTGAAAGTCTCACAAATACAATGAGTGTGTAAAAAAATGTAACAAATTAGATAAGTAATGACTGTATTCTTTTACACAGACTCACACTTGCTTTTGCACTACAAAAAGCATTTCTTAAATGTCCATTACAATACAACTGATTCTAGGAGTTTAAAATGAATAATTAGGTAAAATAGTGAAAGGGAGATGTGCAAAACTTTGTGACAAGAAACATACATAGCACAGAGGGGGAACTGGGTATGTGCTGTAACTGCTGAGGTACAAAACATTGAGAGCTGACAAGCAGGACAGAGCTGGACAGGGAAGGGACACTGTCCTAGCACTGACAATTCTTTCTGACATGGAGACTTAGATAAATTACTTAAAGTAAGAGAAATGGATACATGGGAATGTATACAAGAGGATATTAATAATTGACTGCCATGTCAACAAAGGCAATCTCTTGGCAA